TTAATGCATTAAGCCTGGTACGAACAAACATGTGATGGTAATGTGATGGTTCCAATGACAATTTTACAGTACATTCCTCCTTGCTAATGCTTTCTTATTTAATGGAAGTCAAAGATTTGTAGCAGCATGAACGAAACTGAAAATGTAAACAGCAGGAAACAAACTGAAAATGTAAACATTGATATCCCATTAATCAAAAGGTGTACACCAAATTCACAATCACAATTTAAATTTACATTGACTCCTTGTTTCTCCTACTCAATGACAATTCACAATTCACAATGACAATTCAATCCAACCATATAGATTCCCATATCCTCCAAATGTGCCTAGAAGAATTATTCCCAGAGAATGTCTCTACTCATGCAAATCTGCTGAATTGTGAAGCAATCAAAACCAAAGCAATCAAAACCAAAGCACTGCAAACTATAACCAATGAACAATTCATGTTTGTAATGGCTGCAAAACTAACACCAAAATCATCTCAACTGCCTAGCTTCCAGGTATCAATTTCACTAATGGAATATCAATGTTTAAACATCAATTCCATTTGATCACTAGAAACTAATCCCCCATCCAAAGCATCAATTGACCAGAGAACAAAACCAAAATCATCAATTGAAATCAAAGCCAAAATCACCCACAGAATCCACAGAATCCAAAATTCCCATATCAATTCAAGCAAACGGAAAATTTGCTTCTTCTTCATGTCTGTAGTGGCTGCAAAATGTCGTTCCAGGTGGCTGCAAAATGTCGTTCCCGGCGATTTCAGGTCGCATTTTCAGAGTTGGCAGGGACCGAAGATCAGTTTTCTGAACTGGAATTGAGACTCTGGGGAGTAATAACACGTCGCCTTCGACTGGTATTGCTGTGAAGGCGACGAAGATTCGTCAATTTGGGGGAGGCTTGCGAATTGGGGGCGACAGGTTTAGGGATTTCGAAATGGGGCAGGGCGTCGAAGTTTGGCTGATTTGGGGGAGAGATGGCGTGTTTTACAGAGTGAAAACGCGTCCAACGTGGGCGAATTTGACGCCGTCGACTGCCACGTCGGCGACCGTGAAGCCACGTCGGACGATTTCAGACGGCGGGGATGGTGGGTGACGAACGAAGGTGCTGGTTGGTGAGTTCAGTGATGGGTTGGAGGGAAAACAAAGTTCAGTGACCAGGAGGTGATGAAGTTAGGAGTTGAGTGACCAATGAAAGTTTTTACTCGAAAACTTCAGCGGCCAGTCATTTAATTAACTCAATTACTGGACAAATAAACAAAAATGTGTATAATAAGATTACACCAGTTTCAATTCTCTATTGCCATGGCGATGGAATCGGAGTCGGAGCAATCTCCCAAAAATTCCCCAAATAAACGTCTCAAAACCCTGACTCCAACCCTTGACGATTACCCACCTCATCAGTCCCCACCCTCTTTGATTTCGCAAGGAAAATCCAAAATTGAAGAAGATGAATTTGAACCTACTGATTGCTGCGGGATTTGCTTATCGGAATCTGGTGGAGATTGCAATAGCAGTGTTAGTAGAGGATGCATTGATAGCTGCTCCCATTTCTTCTGCTTCGTTTGCATCATGGAGTGGGCCAAGGTTGAGTCCAAATGCCCTCTTTGCAAGTGCCGCTTCTCCGAAATCCGACGCCCTCCCAAGCCCCCCGTCTTCCCCTCCGAACGAGTTGTTCAAGTCCCTGTTCGTGACCAGGTTAGCCGTTGTTTGATTCTTTGTTTAGTTTTTGGAAGTTTAATTTGCTCTTTGAAGAATGAAATGGAAGTCATCATTTATATATATGCGAAGCACTTGATGAATTGAGAACTGCATTTCCGGGCATCTCCAATGGAACCCCAAAACACCAAAATGCACCATTTTGCACAAAAAAAATGGTGAAAACCTCCTCCAACCATGCACCATTCATGGTGCAAAGGAAATTTGTACCATTTTGCCCTTCATTTTGGTACAAAACAATTTTTTCTTCCCTTTGTGTCCCTTTTTTGTTATATAATAACAAATTATTATTATTATTATTATTATTATTATTATTAAGGTAATCAATAATAATTAAGGAATGCATTAAAATAAAAGTACTCAATAAATTAAAAATGTAAAATTAAATAATACAAAATAAATTTATTAATGAATTCAATATTTTCGTTAACTAAGCGTAGTTATTTATATAGTAATAAAATAAATAATTAAATAATTTTTTAGATAAATAAATTGTTAATAATTAAAAAAAATAAAGAAAATGATGAAACGCTGTTCATTTGTTGCAACTTTTGGTGTTTTGGGTTGGAGATGATTTTCAGTTTGATATAATATTTGCACCAAAATAGAGCAAAATTGACTCCAAATTCTGGTGCTACCATTGGAGATGGCTAATTAACTCCTTCCTCTCCCTCAGTGTACATGTTAGAGAATTATTGCTGTGTGTTCCAGTTCTTTATGACCTCACAGCAGGATGTTTGAAAATATATTTAGCCACTTTAAGTTTATGAAAAATGGATATGGGAGAACCGCAAGGCTGCTTGATATGCTTGGAGCACTAGTTACCAAGTAGGTTGTGAAATTGAATAATCTCTTACATGTGAGTTTGTGATGTTCATGGGTTTTTAAGTGGTTTATAGATGGTATGAGGAACTTTTGTAAAGAGATCGCAAATTTAATTAAACCAAATTTATAAAACTAAAATTCTAAAGGTACTGTGGATTCCCAAATTTTTTAGATTATGCACACTGACACTTGTAGACTCTTTCCCCCCATTTTCTCAATGGATAGAGATACTTTGTCTCATTTTATGTTGACCCTACAAATTTATGTTAATTTACCTCTAATTTTATAAGTTGATGCACTAGATGCTTTCAATTGAAGTAGAGGTAGAGAAACAAAAGGGAAATAAAAATTTAAATTCTAATTTTAATCAGTATGAGCTACCTGTAGCTACAATTATACTAAAAGAACCTTCCCTAGAAACTAGAAGCGTTTAACAATAATTTCCTTTTGTTTGTAACCTTATGGTACTGACACTTTCATATCCTTCTAAGTCACAATAAGGCATCCCTTTTAGTTTTTTAGACCCATTTGCAACCTATATTTACAATCCCTTTTGGTAACTTAACAAGATCCCAGGCTTGATTATTAACCATAGATTCCATCTTTTCTTTAGTGGTGTCATACTAAAACGTGGAATTTTCGCCGCCCATGAATTCAGAAAATGAACATAGATTAGCTTTATAGCCAATATAAAGATCATTCTTGGAGACGTACCACATAATCACTTGAAATTGTTGGTCTTCTCATTTTTGTGGATCTTCTTAACACACACACCCACCCCCACCCCAAAAAAAAAAATTGGATTTTTGAAATCTTTGAGTTTTTTAATTCGTTTTGAACTTTTCGCATGTTGGTAGATCTGTCATCAAATAATTTCTCTTGGATTGGTTGTGCTTCAAATGACTTTGTTGATCCTTATTTATAATTGTGTTGTCGAGGCGTATGGAGAACATGTGAAAGGCATAGAGGAAAAAGTTTCGAGATAAGGATAGCAAACTTGTATGAGACCTTATTCCGGGCTGCATCGTATGGTGTGTGTGGAGAGAAAGAAACAGTCGCTATTTTGAATACTAATCACGGATAGCAGAGCAAATTAGGAAATTGTTTTATTTGACATTGTATACTTAGTTTAATACCGTGGCTACTAGGCATATAGATGGGCTGCCTAATTTCATATTGTTACTTTCTGATTTAAATTGATAATACACTTCATGTGTATTATGCATTGATTAATAAAATATTTGATTACCTTTCAAAAAAAAATTTATAATGGTGCTGCTATTTAATAGCTCTAGTATTTTTAATAAAGAGTTGAAGTCGTACATATTCTGGCCATTTGGATGACCATCATATACCCCAACGTAGTATCCCAGCTTCAACCAACATATTCTTGTCTGCATTCACTTTACAAATGATTGATCTAGGAGTATAAACTTCCCCTTCTAAGTTAAACAATGAGATGTGATGAGTTGGAGTTAATAATTTGAAATGACTTAGTGACAAACTTTTTATATATAGACTCTAAATCAAATTGTAGGCTGGTAAATGCGTTCTTTCTAAGTGTAGGTTTTGAAGTTCCGAACTGCTCTCTCTAATTGTTGCGATAAATTCATATATTATAATTGCTGATAGTTCTGCGGCCAAGTCCATTCACATTTTCCATTATCCAATGATTTTGAATATGGGATTCTTTCTCTCAGCATTTGTTTCACTCTTGGGTGATAATAGAATAATTATATTTTTCACCTTTATTGGTCTGTCTTAGCTCGGTACATGAGTACGACACATTGTACATTTTGAATTCAATGTAAGGTTTCACGCATTCACACTCTTTTAAGAATTTGGAGAGAGTGCTGTCTATGCAACAGGATAAAAATTCAGGCATAGACTTCTCATTATCACTTTTGGCGTGTTTGGTAATTCAGATTGGATAGTGCTAGTAAAGATAAATCTAAGTCCATTGTATTGTTTAATCATATTTGGCGCTGCATGCTGACTGGCACTAATGGTTTCTGATTTATTGCCATGCAGATCTATCATCATTTTGGAAACGCGACAGTTGGGCCTCCAGATCCATATTCCCAAGTTAAATGTAGTGTGTGCAACTGTTCGGCAGATGAAAGTCTCCTACTCTTGTGTGATCTCTGTGACTCTGCTTCTCATACTTACTGTGTTGGTCTAGGGGCCACTGTTCCTGATGGTGATTGGTTTTGCCAGGATTGTAAACTTTTGAAGGATGAACAGGCCGATAATGAAATGAATACTGATCCTGGGAGTCAAATTAGTTCTGGTCCTGTGCTTAAAATCCAATCACGGGATGAACGTGTTTCTATTTTTGATATTGTACGAGAACCTCGTAGTACTGTGATTCAGAGAACTAGAAATGTCTCTTCAGATGCAAGAAACTTGCCACCGCCTAGCTCTACTACTGATGAAATTAGTATGACTGGTAAAATGTGTAGCCCAAGTTCAAGAAGGCAGGATAGTTTTGCACAACATACAACCAAGTCTAATGCTCGAACTTTACGGCATTGTCGCAATGTGCGTGATCGCATACATGTAATGCGTAAAAACTGGAATAGATTTCAAAGTGGTGCCTTAACTTTCTCTTCCAGTCGAGGTGATGGAAGTATTTCTAGTCAGGAACCTGTAACAAGTAGGAGTTTGAATCAACCACATTCATCATCTTGTTTGAACCAGCAATCGTCTTGTGAGAGTGGTTCTTCTGTTATACAAGTAGATAACAGCCGGGCACATGAGATTGACAAAGCTTGGGAAATGATGAAAATTGCAAAGACTATAGGACAGGTTCGTGAAAAGTCCAGCATGGTAAGTAAGGACTCGAAACATCCTATGAAGAAGCTAAGTGCCCTAAAAAAAGCTGATTCTACGAGTTCTAGGCATCTCCCACCAAAGAACCAACAAAGTGGATACAATGAGTTGGCATCTTCTAAAGGCATCTGGACTTCAGGACCATATAAAGTTATCGATAAAAATCCAGAAAAACTACCCGGAGAAAAATCATTTTCTGGATCTGCTCCCTCAATTTCACAAGTAGTCTCAGAACCATTAGCTTCAAATATACGGCATGTTAAAGAGATCGATCACATATCTTCTTCCGGTAGCAAGCCAAGATGTTCTAAGGATAAAAATGAGGTGGGATATAGTTGTGTTGACAGAAAAGTCGATAAAGGTTATGATGCCAAGAGTGAGATTTGGCATGTTAAAGAGGTCGATCATAAATCTTCTTCCTGTAGCAAGCCAATTTGTACTAAGGAGAAAAATGAGGTAGGAAATAGTTGTGTTGACATAAAGGCCAATAAAGCCTCTGATGCCAAGAGTGAGATTCAATCCCTCGTGAAGCTCAACTTGAAACTTCAAACCAAAGATGAGAAATTAGGTATGAAACAAGAATGTTTTAAAGTTATGCATCTGAAAATATTCTATGCTCATATTTTGTACTTGTATCAGCATGATGTGTATTACTCGAGGAGGTTACTAGGATTGTGTTTATTGACAAATTGTGGTTTCTTCAGAAGTTAATGCGTACAAGGAAGTCGCAAGGCTTGCCACCCACAACATATTGGCTGCATGTGGTTTGGAGCAACCGAAGCCAGAATTTTGCTCTCTCCCGAGATCTATATGCTCACATCCTGACGAAGTTCGGCAATGTCAAAGGTCTACTCTAATGCCTAATTCTTGCAGAAAATGTTTCTATGAATTTGTGAAGGATGTGGTTAGCACCATTCTATTGCAGAAGAAAAAAACTGCAAAAAATTTATGATAGTGATGCTTGAACTTGCTGTTAGCTTTGAATAATTTGATAATTGCTGCAGTCAATAAAAATTGCTAAGTTGTAATGAAGTCATAAAATTTCTCTCGTCATCATCTAATTGAAATTTCGTTATGCACCTATTTAAGCTCCACGGACTCATTTTTAACCAATCATTCTTCCAATAAAATAATTTTGCATGTAAATTCAAAAAAATTTCCTTACTTTTTAACCACACATTCTTCAAAAATCGCTATTAAATAACTCATTTTTACCAAATATGGAGCTCAAACATGGATGATTTGTTCGACTTAGCGTTCAAGAAAATGGTAGAATGCTGGGTTGGTGACCTGACTTAGATTTTGTGCTAGATAAATAGAATTAAGTGTCTTGGCGGAAAAGTAACCTGGGGAGCAAGTTTTCTTTGTGTGCAAGAAAGGGTGTTTCTTGGGGTGCAAGTTTCTTTAGTCAACGAGAGTCAAACTGAACCTTGTTTATGTAAACCATTTTACGTCTGTTTAAATTTGAATCCATCAACAATATCAATTCGGAGGTGTTAAATGGGTCTACTTGGCTCGAGTTTATTGGCGGGCCTTCTGAGACCATGGATGTGTTAAATGGGCTTATGTTGGCCTGTATTTTAGGTGGGTCGTTTTGGGGCCTTGTGGCCTTTATAAAAGAAGATAATTAGGCTAACACTTGTTTTTCTTCTACAAATTGAAAAATACGGAGAAAAATACTTGCAACTTCAAATTTGTTTCGTGGGTATTAAAATCAGATTTTCGGTAAATTTCGATAAAATTTAATGAAATGTATAATTGAAAAATTATGATCATATGGAATATGTAATTGAAATTAATTGATTTAAAATAAAATTTGAATTCTAATCCTTATCAAAAATGGGCCAAACAAAAAAATCTTTCAAAAAGGATTAGACCCAACAATGATAGTATCACATCACTAGTGGTGTCAAAATGTGCCATTAAAACATTGAATGGAAATTAGCCTAGCCGTCTTTTCTCAATTTGGTTCAGCCAGAGCCAACTAGTATGCAATATTGACGTGTTTGTAGAGCATGCTATCCAAGATTTTGAAGATGGTTCGAGCTCGACATGGACCATATTTTTTGATGGACTAGTTCAAGTCCATTACAAGTTAGAACTGGTTTAACATGCATGTGAGTCAGTTCGAGTCAACCTATCCATTTTTACACCTCTATCTTGAACTTAGTAAACGACTGGCTCATTTTGCTTCTTCCCATTTTTTTTTTTTTTTTCTTTTCGAAATGGTAATAAAAAAATAGGAAAGAAGCGTACACAAATTGAACTGAATTGAGAAAATTAATCTTGTTCAGATATGTTTGCAAACGAGATAATTTCATTTTTAACATAGCTACATCCCTTTTTAGAATACGGTTGAGTCTTCCCATTTTTTGTTGCTCATTTAGATTGTGTTCGGGTGGAATAAAGATAAAGAATTTACAAAAATCGGGATTCCTAAATATTAGTTTGTATTTTAAATATCTGGTTCAAGTAGGCAAAGAGATGGTTGAATCAAAAATAAATTTGTTCGAAGTTCGATTTTTTTTTTTTTTTTTCTTTTCAGAGGGCAATATGGATGTGTTTATCTTGTTCCATCTTTCAATTAGAGGTTTACACATATTTCAAATGAATTCGATGGCATATTCGAAGAAATTATGACCCTCCCGGACAAAATGGTTTGTGGGCGACCCGACTTGACTCGATGTTGAATTCCTCCATCCGTTCATGAACACCTCGAGGGGGCAACGGGCAAAAGAAAAGACGTTGTGCCACAATAGGAGGCTACACATGTCAGTACAATGTGGGTCTTACGTTACCCTTCTTAAAACCAGCCAAAATAAAGGACAGAAAACGCACGTGACTTAGCCACGTCATCATTAAAAGTATTTTGTTAAAAATGGATAAATACACGAAGGACCCATTAACGACAGGTCACTTCACAAAGGAGCGCACATGCCCCCCACTAACTATCTACATGCCTCTCTCTGCTAAATTTATAAATTTATTAAAGAAAATACTATTTGTACATCGAATTTGACATCACAGTGTATAGACTCCCTCGTAACAGAGGGCTCACGATCAATAAAAAAATCGTAGACCACCCCTCTTGTGAGAGGATCTGTACACTGAGGTGTCAAACTCGGTGTACATTTAGCAAGATCCATTAGTTAAAGTTTTATTTTCAATCATACGTTTCAATATATTTATATGTACTATTCACTTATACATCATTTAAATTTATTTATTTATAATTTTTTTTCCTATACTCTCACTCTAGAGTAAAACATATAGATACTTTATTTTAATTTAATTTCAACCGAGATAATTCTGACAAATTTCACTTATATAAATTGATGGCGGATATGTCAATAAGCTCGTATTTGATCCTCATTTTCCCTCAAACTCAATTTTAATAATACATTTTTTCAATAAACAATTTTGCATGTAAATTTAAAAAATTTCTCAACATTTTAATCACATAATTTTTTAAAAAAATCACTATTACGAAAACTTATTTTTCACAAAAATGAGCCTCAAATAGATTCTAAATGACGTGGCTATTAGTCGTTACAATTAAGGCACTGTTTGG